CCTCTCTGTGCCATGTGTGGACCTGGTGTCCAAAGAGGCCCCAAGAAAGAGTCAGATCCTCTGGAACCAGAGTTACAGATAGTTGTGAGCTGCCATTTTGATGCTAGGAATTGAACCTGGGTCCTTTGGAAGAGCAGCCAGTGCTCTTAACCACTGAGCCACCTCTCCAGCCCCTAGTTAATGAATGTTAATTTAATAAAGACCAAGTTAAAGAAACAAATGAACAAACACATAAGGATTGAAAGACTGGTGGTCAGTCTATTTTCTAGAACTTGGCTGTGTATTTCCCTGTACCTTTGCATACAGGGGAACACTTCCCAGCAAGCAATGTTCATTGTGAAGTGGTCCACACCCATCCTTGACCTTGGATTTTTTTTTCCTTGAAGGTCAAAGTGAGTAACTGGCCACTGGACCCCACACCTTCCAGCAGCATAATTAAATGAATTTTAGTCTTCTCTTAGCCGACTTAAATAGCATCAAGTCCTCTTGCAGCTTCTTAACAGACCTGCCCCTGAGGCTGTCTAGTCACCCAGAAGCTCTTTGGAGTCTCAACTCTGAACCCAATTGAGTGAGCAAATGAAAGGGAGCCTCTTGCCCCCTTCACTTCTGCTTCACGAGTCCCAGAGTTCCCAGCGAACCCCCAAAGGACGAAGAGTGGGAGGAATACTTAATGCAGTGACGGGCGCTTCTTGGGTCCCTTACTTTCTTATATGACAGATTTCACTCCCAGCCACCCATAGACTAGGAGGTTGGACAGTGTGGAGGGGACATAAACACGAAAGAGGGCTGCTTATGTCAGTTTCCTTAGGGAGAAGCCACACAGGCAGGAAATAGAAACACATCAACAAAGACTACACTATGTAAGCAGATCTGTGATGCCCTTAAGAATTCCAGGAAATTTCCATCTGGATCCGTCTAGATCCATCTAGATCTGTCTATCATTGGTTTCCCGCTTTGCATTCGCTAAGATTAGAACTGACTCAGTGTCTACCTTGGAGTTTTCTGTTTGTTTCTACCGTGTGAGGACAGACCAGATCACTTGCAAACAAACTGGCAAGGTTTTCATGTTTGGTCACATTTTATGAAAACCACTGGAGGAAACTGCGAGGAACACGGAGATGGGCAACCCTAACCCTTACTTTGGAAAGCCCTAAGTTGCCTTGAACTAGTAATTACCTGGAACAAACAGAGAAAACCCACCCTTGTGAGGAATAGGCCTTCAAGCCCCCTATATTTTTGGGAACGTTTTTGTTAGGGTGATACCAATAGTTCTCTTTTGCCCAGTGTAAGTACCAGGCTTCCTTCAGGGAACCTGAATGCAGCGGATCTAAGCATCTATGAGGCAATTAGGTGTCAGGAGGCCTGGGTCCCTGAACCTGCTCTTGGCTGAATGCTAAAATCCCAGGGAAATTACTTTGCTCTCTTGAACTTTCATGGGTTTCATTCAAAGATGATCAGATGACTTATTACACATGAACATACACACACACACATAGCCACCCAACACACAATAAATGCGTTTAAAATAATACATTTTAAAAACCCAATCAAGACTTCTAGTCTTTGGGTCTCACGTCTGCCTTAAATTTGCATTGCAGCTGAGAAAGCGGTCCAGTGCCTCTCCGTGTGCTCTCTGCTCTTCTCTGAAGTCTGCTCCTCTCTGCAGTGTGTGCTGGTGTCTGTGAGAGACTACTCAGGGTCTCCCGGAGGGTCTTTGCAGGAACTCTCTGGACAACTGAAAGGGATGGGCAAAACTGCACCTGCTTGGCCACACCTCACTCCCTCCAGACTTCACTTATGCCTGGGGTAACTGAAACCCAGGGCTGTGGATGCCCAGCCCTTGCACACATCTTCCGCCCGCACAACGAGCTCGTCTATCGCCCTGTCAAGCCTGTTCCCCACCAGCATGCCCTGGGTCAGCAGGCAGGAAGGTGGTCCTTCCATGCTGGTTTTTAGCTGGATGGGCTGGCACTCTGTGCATCCCAGCAGGCCACGTTTCTACTCCCCGTTGCCCCACTCACTCAGCATTTTGGAAGCCTCAATCAGGGTTCAAAACACTGAATCCATGACTCAAAGCCGAGCCATTACAAACAAAAGTCCAAGTGACCTACGAAATAAGCTTTTCTACCCAGAATGTGGAAATAATAGTGAAGGAAATAGAGTCAAAGAAAAAAAGTCTTGTAAGGAAGAAGTTCTGTCACTTTTACACGCAGGTTTTACCAGCTGTGTGAACCCATTGCTCGCCTGTCTGAAAGCTTTTGTCATGAACTCTAAATGGCAGGAAGTAGTTTAGCTTCTCCCCTGATGCTCACAGCTAGTCAGCTCTGAGAGGCTATTCTCTGAGGTTCAGGCTAGAGTTCAGCTTCTCCTCTGTCCCTGGTCCTCCTTGAACAGAACTGTCTAATTCGGAAAAGGCAATTTAGCAAGACCCAGTCCTAGACAGGGTCTATAAGATGAGACAGAAAACCTATAATCTTGACAGCCTTTCTCTCGGATGTTTGGAGTTAATTCTGACGAAGAGGGATTGTATATTTTTTACCCGAAAGTGATTTTCCTAATTGCTTGCTTTAAAATTAAAATGATAATTATATTTATATAGCATCTCAAAGCTGGCATGATGGCACAAGCCTGCGATCTCAGGACTCAGGAGGAGGGGGCAGAGGATCAGGAGTGTAAGGGCAAATTTGAGGCCAACTGAGCTACTACATGAGACCCTGACTCAAACAAACAACAAAACAACAACGGCAGCAAAAAAGAAAGAGGGAGGGTGACACACAGGCACACACACACACACACACACACAGAAAGAGAGAGAGAGAGAGATTTCAAAGGACTCCCAGATAGGTTATCTGGTTGAACCTATTTAATAACCCAGTGTTCATTAAGCAATTACCGTCTGTTAACATCATAACTTTAATTGGTTTGCCAACGATGAGAAAACAAATCCCTGAGAGAATGAGACCTCAGAGGTAGTACAGATGGACGCTATCTGAAACACCGGAAGCTAGCCAGGGCGGGGCCAGCGACCAGTGGCCCCACCCCCACCCCCACACTAGCACCTGCAGCCACACAGGTGTGAGGAGGAGGGGCAGGATAGCAGGAATGGAAGAAGACAAGAGTCACCTACTCATGCTTTTGCCTGGGGCTGCCCTGGGGGAACCTCTAGAGCCTGAGGCAGGAGGATTGCTGTGAGTTTAAAGCCAGCCTGGGTTTCCAAAAGGAAGGGGAAGTGAAGATATCCATCACTGCCCCAGATCTCATCTGCCTCTCGGTAACCCCTCCCCGCACCCTACACCCCCAAGCCTCTTCTGCAGGCCACCACCACCTGCATTACCCCACTACCGATGAGTTCACAAACAACCGCCCAGGCCCCAAATCTCTGCTCGGAGAAACCCCTTAATCACTAGCTTGACTGGAACAGGACCTTTACAGACATGGAACTCAGCTTCAGTTTGGTGGTTAGGGGTTGCCTGCTGTGTCAAGGGTTTAAGCCCATCACCTCTGCCCCACAAACCTTTAGCTCCTTGGTTAGTGACTCGTAAGTGCCTTAAAGCAAAAACAACAAGGCACAGCTTTGATTTCACATCCATGGATTTCCCAGGGGTCTAGAATATGTGGGTTGGTGGGAGAGTCCTCTTATTGGTTGGTCAGCGCAAAGTGGTCAGCCTTGAACCCACATACCAACAATAAAAATGGACTTGGCTTGCATTTATATATGTATTTGTTCACACACACACACACACACTCAACAATAATATTCAAAGAAAAAGAGGCCATCCACTTGAGAGTAAGGGAGGGACATGGGAAGAGTAACTAGGAGGAGCTGGGGGAGGGGAGAGAGAGAGGAAACGTGGTGAAATTCTATTTCAAGCAAAAACATATTAAAAAAAAATAAAAGAAATAAGGTCTTAGAAGAAAAAAAAAAGATGCATGTTGGAGTTAAACTTGAGACTAGCACTGAATGGATCTCCGTGAGTTCCAGCTCAGCCTGGTCTATATGAAGAGTTTCAGGCCAACCAAAGCTACACAGTGAAACATGGGTTCAAAAAATATTTAAAAAATTAAAAATAATAAAAGTTGGAGTGGCGATCATGAATGGTTTGTCGGTTAATACTCGGGAAAGGTCCTGGAATCGCACTGCACTCTAAAGCGGTGACTTGCTCTGAAACTCTGCCTGCCCGGATCTCAGGGCAAGTGTCCTGCCTCAGCCTACCAAGCGCGGGGATTGTAGGCATGAGCTATCTCATATGTCTTCATCTCAGGATACCGGCCCTACGTGTCTTTTCTCACCGCGATCTTTGGTCCTCCTCTTTCCCACCTCCCCCTAATGCCGAGACAAGCTGCAGGGAAAGCTTCTCCCTTTCTTCCGTTTCTCCCTTTTTCTCTAAAATACCTGATAGGCCGTTGCTTCCTCCCCCCCCCCTTTTCATTCCAAACACGGTCCGTGTTTTCATTATTGTAAATATACCGAGAACAAGAAATAGTATTACGTAGTACTACAAGTTCCAAGTCCAGGCACCGCTCAAACCAGATACTCACTCCCCTTTACACCAAACACAAAGCACATATTCAAAACACTATTCTGTTTGATTTTTAGATAAAAAAGCTGAGATGGTAGAACAGCAGCTATCGGCATTTAAATGACGAAATGATAAATAACAGCTGCACGGGCGATACGAATAGAAACAAACAAACAAACAAACAAACAGAAACAGCAAAGCAATAACAAACATCTCTCTGCGTCTTCGCTCCAAATTCACCACAATCTGGCGCACACTTTTTGGGAAAGGCCTGGTGCCCACCCCCCACTCTGACCCCACGCTGGGGACCTGGAGGGGGGTAAGCATTATATTTTTGTTTCCTCTTTCACTCTCCCCCCCTTCCTCCCCACGGTTTTCCGGAAGAGCAACGAGCAAACGTTTCTTCACGCTAGCATGCTGAGCCGTCTCTAGACGAGCTCGTTCTCCGCGTTCAAGGGCGACCTTAGAGAGCTTACTTACGTGGAAGACCGGGCGAGCCCTGGGCTGGGAAGCAGCGGGTGCGGGTGCCAGCCTGCTTAAATAGCCTGCTGGCTGACGCGGCTGCTGATGGCACGGTTATTTACGCCTGCGAGCGCACGCTCAAGCAGGCACCTGAAAAACCTGCAGCGTGGGCAGGCGGGAACCACGGAAGTCAGGCGGCCGAGCTGACGTCGGTCCCGGTTCTTCAGGTTTGATGCTGCTCGGGCGGTGACTTCTGAGTGTCCTGGACTTTTCATTCAGCCCTGCTCCCTTAGGCAGGCGAGAGGAGTGGAGGAGCAGCAGGGACCCCCCTCCCTCCCCACCCTGTCTCTTTCCCCAGCTTCCTAATTTGGACCCGGCTTGGGTTAGATGTTGCCGCCTCTCAAAGCTTCGCGCTGCCAGGCTGAATTCACAGCTCCGCGGGCGGCGGGCCAAACCTAAGCGCCTGGACCGATGCCCAGTTCATGAAAAGCTGTTTTCTTTCGGACACAGAATGTACAAACAAGGAACAACGGGGGGGAGGGGGGGGAGAGGGCAGGCCGGTGTGAGACAGCTTTAGGTTCCCTTCAAACACTTTTCATTTCTTTCTTTATTTTATTTTTCTGCATCTGCTGAAATGCATTTGCGGAGATGGAGATGGGTGTAAGCGTTCAATGGATGTGGGCGTGAGGGCTCCCCTGGTCCAGGTTTGTTTATTTTTTTTTATTAGCTAGCCTGGCCGTTGGCGGTTGCAGCACTGAAGCCGTGAGGCTAGAGGGGAGGAAGGAAGCCACTCCAGGGCTACTGAGATCATCTTTGGGAGTATCAGTGCGAGCAGCACAGACTCCCCAGGCACTCGCCCTGTGTGCCTCACCCGCCTAGGGAAAGAAAAGCCCACTTGGTTCACCTGGGAACCGGAGTCACACTGAAAGAATAGCAGAGACTACCGAGACAAAGGGAGACGATGGCTACAACACACGTGCAGGAGAAGGCAGGGACCCAGTCGGCCCGGTTCCCAGAGTTCTTTTGCTTCCTGTCTCTTGGCTCCTTCTAACGTTTCTATGACCACATCTGGACTCTTTCTTGCCTTGCAGATTTCTTCAAAGCAGGGTCTACGTCTTGCTGATCTGACAGCAAGTACAGGAATGGCTATGGTCTTAATAGGCTGGGGGCATACATAGCTCAGGAGCGGAGCTCTTCTTGCCCAGCACGTTTAAGGCTCCGTGTTTGATGCCCGGCAGGGCGAGGAACAAACAAAGCAAGCCTTACTGTGTGAAGATGTCGATCTGGATCCAGACTACCTGTGTGCCAGGCTCTGTGGGGATCACGTCCCCTGTCAAATCCTCACCACGACGACACTGTGAACTAAGTTCTTTCATTATTTACCCTGTAGATGAAAACAATGGATAGCCAGAAATATTAAATAGCTTCCCCAGGGCCACAGCAGGTGGCAGGGATGATGAAATTTGAACCCAGATCTGATTTCAGAGTCTAGGATTACGCTTAGAAATTATTTCAAACTGGCACTTAGAAAAGATGCCAAAGAATCTTTTTACTTATTTTTATTTGACTACTCATCTGTCTTCCAGAATGTGACTTCCACAATCCCAGTGTCCTTGTCTGCTTTGTCCATTCTTGCAACCTGAGCACCTAGCATTGTGCCTGGCACATAGTAGGTCCTCCACAAATGTGCATTCTTTGCTCCATTTCTAAATTCCTTTGGAAAACATGCAACCCAATAGATAAGGGGTTGGCAACAGCGAAGACTCATCTTGGTCCAGGCATGCTTGTTTTCTTCTTGCGTAATATATTGGCATCAAGCTATTTCTCTTGATCTCACTGCACACCATAGAGGAGAACACAGACATGGGTGAAAGCATGGAGCAGTTTGTTTGTGTTTGTTTTTTAGGGTTTATTTAATTAAATTTTTATTTTTTATATTAATTACAGTTTATTCACTTTGTATCCCAGTTGTAGCCCCCTCCATCATTCCCTCCCAATCCCACCCTCCCTCCTTCATCTCCTCCCATGCCCCTCTCCAAGTCCACTGATAAGGGAGGTCCTCCTCCCCTTCCATCTGATCCTAGCTTATCAGGTCTCATCAGGACTGTATTGTCCTCCTCTGTGGCCTGGTAAGGCTGTTCCCCACCTCAGGGGAAGGTGAGCAAAGAGCCAGCCACTGAGTTCATGTCAGAGACAGTCCCTATTCCCCTTGCTTGGGGTACCCACTTGGATACTGAGCTGCCATGGGCTACATCTGTGCAGGGGTTCTAGGTTATATCCATACATGGTCCTTGGTTGGAGTATCAGTCTCAGAAAAGACCCCTGTGTCCAGATATTTTGGTTCTGTTGCTCTCATGAGCAGTTTTTGTATCACTTAAGAAGTCTAAAGGCATGAGGTCTCAGCGTTCAGTGACACAGCAATCTTCCTAGATTTTTCTCTTTCATCTTGTGATCCCCAATGCAATGGTTCTATCTCCTGACCTGGTGGCAAGGTGGGTACTGTAGCTTTGTGCATCCTGTCTGTGAAGAAAAGCCAGGGGTGTTTTTTTTTTTTTTTTTTTTTTTGTTGTTGTTGTTGTTGTTCTAAGTATTCCTCTTTGTTGGTTTAGAGGAGAAATCTTTCCAGAGACCATGTGCAGACTTCCAGTGTGATACCTGTGTAGCCTATCTTTGCTACTTTATGGGTTCTTCTTTTCCACCCTTTATCCCCTCTACCCTCAGTTTCAACCCCTATCACTAGATAGGAGAGAAAGAAGGATAGAGGAGAGAGAGATCCCTGACTCTAATTTCTTTCCTTTTGTTTCTTCTTCAAGCACAACTACTAACAAACTGCAACCAACCTCCCCAAATGACCAACAATCCCTCACCCCACACCTCTTGGGGCCCTTGAATTTATGTATCCTCTGATAACTTCCCAGAATTCCAAACCTCACACTACATTGCAGAAATTATCTGCACCTGGCAAAAGAACACTCCTGCTAGAGCTCTAGGCAAATCACAGTCAGCTGCTGTGGACAGTTGGAAGCAGCCCCATATCCTCATACCTGGGAATAAGGTGAAAACACATTCTTAGTAATATTTCTGTTTTTAAGGAAACCAAAATCCCAAAATTCTCACTACATACCTGGGTCAAATGGCTACCACAGCAACTACCTCTATCACCTGCAGCAAGGCAGGCAGGCAGAAGGTGACTCATCTCCCAGCTCCGAGGGAAGGATCATGTGACCTAGGCACAATGCTCTCAAAGCTTATCACAATCATGTCTCGGCTAACAGGGAGCATGGCTACCAACAATCCTGTCAACTAGGGGATGGTTTAGGTGACAGTCCAAGCTGCGTTCCTGTTTGGGCACCAAATCAGGCCATGGAGAACAGTTTTCTCTCTATCAATTATCTCTGGGATTTGTTTTTTTGTTGTTGTTGTTGTTGTTTGTTTGTTTGTTTGTTTGTTTTTTCTAATGAGAAAAAGCTTTTGTTACCTTCAGCAACTTAAGGCTCCCAGACAAGTGAAGCTGCTGGCTGTAGCGGTTCTTCATGTGCACATTTGGATCTAGGTTTTGTATGAATATTGCTCCCCAGAGACCAGCACACAATCAGCCAGTGTTGCTGTGGGCCAGATGGAATACTGGGGATGCTGCTGGTGTCTTAGAATGGTTCCATTTCTCAACTGGTTATGGGGGAGGGGAGCAGGCTCTGGTGCTCTGACATGCATCTTCCTAGTCCTCCTCATCCATTGTTTCCGGAGAACTTCATAGACGATACTTTGCCTCTGCCCGAGAGCTGCAGCCAACACATTCAACTCATGGTTCCGTTCTCCTGGAAGCTATTAAACTGCAGGTGAACACAGAAAATAGGCTGTTGTTTTCTTTCAATTTACTGCTGCAGATCTTTTCCTTGCTGTGAGCATTGGAAACCTCTTCTTCATGGTCATGAAGAAGAGGAGGGGGAGAAGGGTGAACTTAAGAGTCAGGGCTCCAAAGAAGAGTTTGGACTCCTGGAAGATTGTCGGTGTTAGATACATGTTTGCTGAGTTACTGGGAAGGAAGAAGTCAGGGCTTTTGAAACTCACAGATCTGAGTTCAAGTCCCACCATTTCGGTTTACCAACTAGGTGATCCAGGCAAACGTACAAAATTTCTCTTTGCTTATTTCCTTATACACAAAATGAGAGTGATGTGATTTATTGCGTAGACTTATTATAAATAGTAATGATTATAAGTGAAAAGTACTTGGCAATGATCCTAGAATATCAGAGGTGAAGGAACAATAGATATCTACCACCTGTCCATAGCTGTTTCCATGGAACTCACAAAAGGCAGTTAAATGTCAGTTGCCCAGGTGTCACAGCAAACATGATGGCAGAGCCACCTAGGAAACAGGGGAACAGTTCCTCTCATTTTGCCAGAAGTTCAAGGACACCGATTGTCAAGAATCCGGTTGACGAATGGAGAGCTTACAGAACCAAGCAAAGGGGGCGGGATTAGTTTGTTCTTGGGGGAACGGTTCAGGCAACAGTTCAGGCAACTTCCTCTAGAAGCCCAAAACTGATCTCTGACCTACACTAGGAAGTACCTCTGTCCAGAGATGGAAACACACACCCTCAGGGTTCCACCCCCAAGCTGTAAACTTGAGTATAGAAAGGCTGCCAACTCTGCTGCAGTGTGTCTGGAACGGTGTGGGGAGCAGAAGGGGAACTGTCAGTTGACATGGTACCTGGACAAAGAGGATGGAGACTGGCCAAGGAGGAGGTATTCTCTTTGGCTCCTGGAAGAAGAGCTTCCCAGTTCCCAGGTGCAAGGAAGGGGAGTTCTAGCAGAGCCCCACATTGACTATTGGTGGCTTGTGACAGACACGAGAACAGAAATGAGCTCATCCTTTCAGTGTGTGGCGCGTGCTCCATACCAGGCTTGGGTCGCATCATCTTATCCCTACTTGTGACGTTCTAAGTCAGCTGTTGCCTGGGAGGTAGGCATGGCAGCCCACAGCCACACATTACAGCAGGTGCCTAGGTGAAGCTGTTCCATCCAGGGTGAGCTTACAGTGTGTTCACTCTCTTAGGAAGAACCCAAGGTCCCCTAATTCCTGCCCCAGTGTCTAATGGGTGAGGAGGTCTTTATCATACTTTTCATGTTGTTGGTTGGAGGGAGGCAACTGAGTGTGGGGGCATCACCCTATTGGTGAAGGAGATACAGGAAGCTTCACTCTGCACATCCAAAATGTAGCTCTTCTTCTCGGCACCAAGGCTGCCAGCTGCCAGCAAAAGCGGCTCATGAAGCAGCACGGTGACATTCTCAAGAGGGGTGGGGGTGTTGCCTCACCTGGAGACCTCTTTCCTTATGAATGATGGGAGGATACAGCAGGATGGGGCCACCCAGCCTGACTATAAT